AAAAATACCACATGAGATGAAACAGGACAGGCAGATGGAAGAACTTGTTGTTACGTAAGGACTAGGATTCCGTTTTTGCTTTTATTCAGTCCACTGACCTTGGTTGCATGGAGATAAACTAACTAAACAAATTGGTAGGACCAGCAAATATAAGATATGTTAGAGGACGAATTTTATTTGAAACAAATCGAAACGAGAAGATAAATGAGGCAAGCAGGACTCCCAAAGAAACGTAAATGACTACGATAACAGCATAGTTATATGAAGAGGTAAGACAGAAACGAAGGAATCTGCTATAGTACAACTCAACAATGAATGCCATTAGACAATATCAGATTAAAACTATTTTTATGTGGCAATATGATACACCTCTGAAGACGTCTTGCTTGTTTGATTAATCGTTCAAAGGCAAAATTTTTTTAGACTTACCAACGCAATCGCTTTGTTCATAAAAAACAGTAAGTCGACTTGACTCTCCTCAACAAGAGTCATATAGTAACCGATTCGTTGGTGCACAGACAAATATTGAGAGAATCACAAATAATCTGCCAATATACAAACCAATTTGTTTGAAATTACTTTTACTATTACTTTAAATACTGATACCCACTTTGTTATTTAGAATGAAGACAGACTTATATCAGATCTCAAAAGTTACAGAATTTTGTATGAGTTCGAAACTATCGATACCAGTTGGATGAATCTGTTCGCTCTTTCGTCACACTTTTTAGGTAATTTTGCTGATGAATTTTAAAGCGTCTGGAATTTATTTACATATAGCTTTGCACAGCATAGTAGTAAGAATTAAAATTGATCTTATATAGGCTTAACATATTCAGAGCTGCTGAAGAAACTGTATTATGTTGCCAAACATGTAAATGATTCCAATTTCTTTAATAAATTATCTAAGTTGATCTTCTCATTTACACGATTTAAATGATAATGCTGTAACTGTGAATAGTATGGTATGCAATGTCAAAAACTGATATTTATTGATAAATATTTAATATACGCACATACATTTATTTCTAGCTTATTTGAATTTACTTTTACTATTTCTTTAAATACTCGTATCTATACTGAGGAATGTAAACCAAGTATAGCAATGAACAACAATAAGCATGTTCCTTAAAAAACCTTCACAAAGGTATCATTATACTAGCAAAACAAATGCGAAACTTTTAAATTTGAACTGAAATTTGTGAGTCATGAAGCAATGGCTGAGCATATCGAAAAGCCATAAATCATTGCATCTGTGACAATCGGTTTTTCCTGTGTCAGCAGTTCTTCAACGGTTTTCAGCAAGAAGTCAAAGACAGACATACAGTAACCTTAAACAACCCAATTGCAGGCTGAAAAAAATTGCATTCCTTCTGTTTAAAATTTTCATCAGTAACATTAGACAAACAGTAGCTAATTTCATCTTTAAAATGACTGTTTTGTAAAGGATTGTGAAGCGTATAGCTATTTTTAGTAGATGTAACGGGAAATATTTGAGTAAAATTGCAAATTTTACTTAATTGATCGATAATTCAATTACTATCAATTTGCAAATTCTGAAATACAGAAATTTCTTCTTGCTATCATTTATGAATTTTTGTGTCCCCTTTTTCATGGCTGAATTATAAAACGAACTGATTTGATGTTTTAATAAATTTTAAAAACTGCATTTGTAAACAAAATTACTGAATAATCAACAATAAAAATTCTTAATTTATTTAATTCAATAATTTCACGACCAGAAACTATGGTCAGTTAATTTAGGCATAGGTTTGCGGAAGAAATTATGAGAGGTCATAAAATCATTAATGCATTGTTTAGTTATTGTGCATTTTTTCGCTTGCCCTTTTCTCTTACTTTTTTATCGTTTTTATTTATTTCCGAATAGTTTTTGTTCTCGAGGTCATTAAGATGAGAAGTGCAGCCCAGTTTGTTCAGTTCAAAAAAATAAAAAAAAGCACACGTCGGATAAGCATTAGAGAAATAAAAGCTTTACAAGTTGCACCAAAAATGAAACTGAATGATTGCGTCACATCTCTTCTGCTTAATATCATTAGTAAGAATGTTTAAAATTGAGCATAATTTATTGACGAACTTAATCATTCAAAATTTAATATTAAATTTAAAAGTTAACTTTGAGCATAATTTTTTACTTTCTATTTAAGTAAGAACAAAAATGAAATTTACGCTAACAATTGATAATTTAATTAAATTAACATTAGGAATTTCATACTAACTTGAAGAGAAATCAAAAAAGAAACGAACTTATGCAGCGTAAAAATTTTTTCGCTTCAATTCCATCAGGAAATTAAAGTTGATAATTTAATCAACACTGCTTAATTGAAAGTTGCAATAGCATGAAAACATGAAAGTGTTTACGACTCTTTCGCATTTTATTTTATTGTGTCACTAATCATTTCTTTAAGATTTTTATCTTTATAATTGTTGTACTTAATCATTAAACATTCAATACTTGGTTAAAGTTAATTTGCACAGCAATTTTATCAAGACATGATTTTTACAGCTTATTTGTAAGAAAATTCATAATTTACTTTTTTGTCGCAACCAATCACTGAACGCTTTGGCGCGTGCTGTTGTTTAAGATATTAGTAATTGTTGACAATTCCTTTAATACAAAAAATGGAAAGCGTAACGCGCAAAGTCACATATTTATCATCGCTTATTTTTTGTTCGTTTTCAAATTATTCACTTGTTCTCAGCTATTGTATTTGACAGTTTGTAGTCACATTTTCTGTTCTTTCAATGTTAACATTGTAATCCAAAATTTGTTATCGCAAGTAGTATTTAACAATATTTATTTATTGATGGGGTCATTAATAAAAGCAGAGAAACAATAAGGGACAGTAGAAAAATGAATCTATCTTCTTCACACACTTTACTGCTTGTTTTCACTGCAGCTTTTGACTAGTCGGCTGCTTCTGACGTAGTACACAGTGCTTCCAGTTTTACTATCATTTCGTGCCAATAATTAAAAAAAATTCCGGCCAAAAATTTTTTCACTAAAAAGTATGACGCAAATATGATTAAGATGAATTTTTTAATTTTTGTCATGCGGAACACATGATTAAGCAGTTTAACATTCGTGACCTTTAACTAAATAAAGTCAAAAAAATTGTGACTACAATACTTGTGACTAAATTCAAGAATACTTCCATACAATCAAAGTGCTATTTGTTGTATTTTCTCATGACCGCGACCATTACTCTGTCGTTACCATTTTTCACGATTTGTTCTAAAGATAGCTTTGACACAAATACACTTTCTTAAATAACTTAGTTACCTCTCTACCGGTGTTAAATTATTAAATTATCTGCCTATCACTCAGTCTATCGATGAATCTACCCACTTTTCCACATGTTTTATAAATTATAAATGCATGATTGAATTGTTTTTTTGGAATAAGATTGTTTTTTAGATGAAATTTCAAACACATAACTTTGACACTTTCATTAATCAAGAAGACGGACACGCATTGCCAAGAGCATTTTTATTAACAAAGTGACACTTAACCAACCATTAGCAAGCGCAGAAGACCGATCAACATATAAAAATGAATAAGTGATAGAAGCGATGTGCTTTAATCTGAAATGTGTTTTAAGAGGTATTTGTAATCTGGAAAACTTAAATTACATCGGATGGAAATATAAGCAGTACTACCTAAAATTTAAAAACGTTTAGATAAGCGTTCAAGTAGTATTGCATATTAATGAGTCTTGCTGCTTAATTCAAATTTTCGCTCACCGAACATGAACACAAATGACTTCTTTTGCATTACGTGAAAGTGAAGTTATAACACAGTGGCAAGCACTATGTTATTAATTCATTAATGATTCCGCGTGCTTATTTTGAGAGGTAAAGACAATTACATACAATTTAATCACTCAATGCATCTGATTTGCTTCTCTTGATTTTTTATTTCGATGTTTGTGACTTGGTTTACTTTGACCAGAAATTGGTCGTAGAATGAGTAAAGTCACGAGAACTAGCCAATCCATCCAGATTAATCCAATTATTAGATAAAGCACGTACTTTAAGGATCCTCGCGATCTAAAAAGCTTCTAGAATGATGTTTATTTTCGATTTCTAATAACAAATAGTATATCTCGAAAATTAGACTCATTTATTTAATTGAAATCTGGAAACTCTATCGCCTAATATTTCAGAATATAATAAAATTTCGTTCTTGTATAAATATCTTTTATGATAAATATAAAATTTCAATGTGTAACAGCCAATTTTTTTCCTTCTGTCGGAAAAACTCTTTCAGTGATAACATTATCAGCTACATTTTGTAAGGAAATTATCAATTTAGACAGTATGTTTAAAGGAAAAACAATTTTTAGTTCTAATTAGACTAATTAATGCTAAAAATTAATTAAAAAGTATGACTGAACTTCTAATAATTAATTCTAATTGATTATTTTTAATTCTAATTAACTAATTTCATTTAATTAATATTAATTTTTGTTTTAGTTAATTAATATTAAAAAGTATGACTGAAGGAAGAAGTTTAGAGCATATTTGTTCTAACTGCATTCAAAATTATCTTCTTCATTTAGTATTTTTAAAAACATTCTCTTACATTTTTTTCGTTTCACGCTTCATCGTTTCGTTCATCGCAAATCTTATTGAATCGTTCCTCGCAATATTCCTTTCCTAGTTACTATATATTAGGTATGAGCAATACTTAAATTGTAGTTTAAGAAGCTAAAATTAAACTTCATTTTCAAAACTCAAAGAAAAAACACATGCCATTGATTATAAAAACTGATAACAACACTGAGAGTGATTAAGACTGACATTGAGCTATCGGCATTTTCTATTCTTTTGCACTGTAAATTATCGCTTGATATACATCAAATTTTGAACTAACGGTTTCAGTCGTAGTTCTTATTGTACTAGCAATGGCAGGAGTAGTTGTTTCTGATGTAGTTGTAACTGTTGCTGTAGTAGCAGTAGTTGTTGTAGCAGTAGTAATCGTAGTAGTGGTAGTAGTAGTAGTGGTAGTGGTAGTAGTAGTGGTAGTGGTAGTAATAGTAGTAGTTGTTGTTGTTGGTGTTGTTGTTGGTGTTGTTGTTGGTGTTGTTGTTGGTGTTGTTGTTGTTGGTGTTGTTGTTGTTGGTGTTGTTGTTGTTGGTGTTGTTGTTGTTGTTGTTGTTGTTGTTGTTGCTGTTATTGTTGTTGTTGTGGTGGTGGTAGTAGAAGTAGCAGTAACTGTTGTTGTAGTAGTTGTCGTTGTCGTTGTAGATGTAGTTGTAGTTGTTGTGTTTGTAGTAGTTGTAGTAGCTGCAGTGGTTGTAGTAGTTGTAGTACTAGCTGTAGTAGTTCCAGTTGTATTAATTTCTTTGGTCTTCACTCCTTTTGCAGCAGCACTGGTGGAAGTTTTTGTTTTATTGGCTTTTCTTCTACGATGATGAATTCTCTTCCTTGTACTAAACTCTTCATGTTTTTGACCACTAGAAGTTTCCCTTTCAGCTTTGCGTGGATGACGACGCAAATGTAGCGCGTCTTGAACTGAATTATCTAGAAAATGATTTACTGTGTTATTATTC